TGCGCGAACAGCCGCGTGTGGAACGTTACACCCGCGTGTGCATCACCCACACGTCGGGAGGGGAGCTGTGTGCCGCCGACGGCCGCACGGGCACGTGCAGACCCGCGTGGTCGGGGGCTGCAGACCTCGTCTAGCTCCAGCCTCCACGCTAAGTGACTGTTGTTTGGCGCGAGTCCTGTCCCTTCTCCGGCCTCAGTTTCTTCATTTATAGAATGAGACGGTTGGTCTTTCGTGCTTCCCAAGCCCCCTTGCAGCCCCGAGTCTGGGTCTGTAAGGACGGTGCTGCACAAAGAGATACTCAGTACCTCGTCTCTGGAGGAGGTGGGGTGAGGTGGGAATAAGGGAGGAAGGGAGGCAGAAGCCGCCCAGACTGTCCTGCAGATGAGACCTCGCTTGGCCCCGAAGCGGAATAACTCTTTGGATCGTGTCTCCCTGGAATGAGGAGGCCCCTCCGTGCTCCCGGCCCAGTTCCCCTTGCGAGTAAAGTCGACTGAGCCTCTTGGGAAGTGGGAGAAACATTAAAACCGAATATTCTGGCTAATGTTCATGCTTGGAATGGAGGCACAGAATCATTGGAATCAAATAGTTCTGCAAACCAGAGACGCCCCTCACAGAGCGTTTACCTTTAGACGGGGCGGGCCGGCGAGGGCGCAGCTGTGCTTTCTGGATCAGGGTGTCCCCCAGGCCCGCTGCCCCCTGCCCCCCCACACCCTCCCGCCTTCGGGCTCAGCTGAGGGAGCCTCCTGGGACACCGTCAGGGGACCAGGTGTGCCCCACCACCCCCGACACAGCCCGTTTTGCAGAGCTGTTCCCCACCCACGGCCTCTTGGGGTCCTCCTGTCTCTCGGGGCTTGTGGGGAAGCTGTCATTGTCCCATTTCGGTCTCAGAGCACCTGTGTGTGGCTCCTGAGTCGGTGACAGCAGCCAGCACCCACCCCGCCGAACAGCCACACCCAGGGCAGCCGGAAAGTCACATCAGAAGATGCCAGATGGAAAGGCGTCCCCTCGATTGGGCAAGTGGAAGCCAGCTGGTGACCCCTGAGAGGGACCCAGGTCCTGTGGGCGCTGGTGGCCGACCCAGGCCAGCCTGGGCTCGGAGCGAGGGCAGGAGAGACCGCGGGGACCATGGGGGAGGGCAGGCCACTCTTTCCACAAGCCTGCAGAGGTAGGAGGGGGCTTGGTCTGTGCTCCGTGTGGAGGACAAAGCCCATGGAACAGGGGCCGCTGCTACTACAGAGGGAAAGGCAGGGTCTGGGGCACGGACACTCGGGGGTCCAGATGGGACTTGGGCTTGGGCAGGAATGCCAGGGGAGGGAGGAGCTGGGGACCCAGCACAGGAAGCAGGGAGGGGAAGATGGGGACCCAGCACAGGAAGGGGGAGGGGAAGATGGGGATGGGGCTTGGGAGGGGACCCGAGACCCCAGACCTTCCCTCGGAGTCGACGTCTGGCTTTCCAGTTCCCTGCCCTTCTGCCCTGTGAGGCTGCACCCCTTTCCTGGAATGGGGTTTCTCCCCAGCTCTGACACCTGTAGATGGCCGTGATTGTGCTGTGGGGAGTCAGGGAGAGCTGGCCCAGACGCAGGTGACCTGGCCCATGACCTTGGGTGTTCCAGGCTCCCCACCGCCCCTCCTGCCCCCAGTTGTGATGCTCCGCAAATGTGAGGTGACGCCTGTTAATCTGCACAAATGCTGGGCTGTCTCTTCCGCCCCCTGCTTATCCTTTGGGGGGCCTTCTGACCTGTCCCCACTAACTTTCCGGCTTTGTTGCCAATCACCCCCACACAAGCCTCCCAGCCAAGGCTGCCCTCGGATGGGCGCGTGCCCGGAGCACTGGGTTCGTCATCAGAGGCCTGGGCTGCGGGGACATAGTCCGGGTTGGAGACGGCATTTCAGCTGGGCCCGGGGCTAGCCTAGGAAAGAGGACGGAGCTAGCACAGGGAGGGCAGGGGAGGTGGATTCCAGACAGGAGGTCTGCCCCGTGCAAAGGCCTAGAGCTCCTGGCGGGGGAGCGGGACCCGTCGGACCCAGAGGTTGGAGCGAGAGACGGGGGCTGGGGAGGAGGCGGCCAGGCCGGGGCCCCGGGCGCTGTGTCCAGAGTGTGGGGGGGAGGCCCCCCCCGGGGCTGGATCTCTAGGGGTGCTGGGGGCTAACCTGCGGCGTCCATCTGTCCGTAGCTACCGGACCCTGGCCACGGAGCACGAAGCGCTGATGCAGAAGTACCTGCACCTGCTGCAGATTGTGGAGACGGAGAAGACGGTGGCCACGCAGCTGCGGCGGCAGATCGAGGATGGGGAGGTTGAGATCGAGCGGCTGAAGGCAGAGGTGACCGCTGGCTGGGCGCGGAGGGGGCCGGCGGGGGTCCGGGCCCCAGACCGGCACCTCAGAGCACCCTGGGCTCCTGCAGGTGGGGCGGGGAGGGGGGCGGCGGGCCGGCCTCCAGATGTAGACGCAGCAATGCAGGCGGCGCGGGAGGGGCGCGTGGCCGGATCGGGGTTCGGATCCCACCTCTGCCACTGAAGACGGGCAACTGGAGCAGGCGCCCTAGGCTCTGTGCCTCAGTGTCTTCATCTGTAAGGTGGGCTTTTCGCCAGCACCCGGCGAGGTTGTGCGGATGGTGCGAGGTCACGAGTGCGTTGGGGGTACTATGCCGAGGACCACGCCGAGCACTCGGCGGGGGCGCGGGCCCGGTCATCGGAGCGTGCGCTCCCGTGTCGGCACCACAGCAGCCCCTTCCCCTGTCCGTTGCGGGGAGCACTCTCACGGGGTCGTCGGGCAGCCGTCTGGAGGCAGCGCCGCTGCTGGACTGAGCCCACTAGGCTTGGATCCCGAGCGTCGTCTGCGAAGCAGTTTCTCGTCAGAAACGCGGAACCGGGGCCTCCAGCATCGGAACCTGCACTCCCACAGCCTCCCAACCAAGCCCCTCTTGCGTGAAAGCGTGGGAGACGCTCTCGGCCCTTAGACACCCTGCCAGCCGTCTGCCCACCCCAGAAGGATCTGATCCCTCACCCCACAGCACACTTGGAACCGTCTGGCCCCGTCGCACAAGAGCCGCGGACTCGGAGCGGAGGAGGGGACGTGAACACACAGACTCTCGCAGCCAGAATCCGCTACATAATTTCCAGGGCCCAGTGCAAAGGAAATAAGCAAGGCCGTGGCTAGGGCTGGGGGAGTCCGCCCCCGTCCCACGGCCCACCACCCCAACCCAGGTGACCCCCAACTTCAGCCTCCACCTCCCCCAGCCTCTGCACCGTGATGCACTATGTTCCCAGATTAGGGGGTCACCCACCTGGTGCACTGGCTGCTGTCTCCCTGAGACACCATGGGCCACGCCCTCTGCACCTGCACCCAGGCCCCTGCAGGTGGCACAGGGTCTCCAGTCTCCCCTGCTCCTGCCACCCATTGCCTCCAGGGCACAGGGTAGCCATGGTCATGGGTCCCAGGGTGCCAGGCTGTGGGGAGGGGGCAGCTGAGAACCCGTCCCGGGGAGGCAGGAACACACGTGAGCCGAGGCCCCAAGCACCTGGGGTGTGCTGCACTGTCCCATCTGATGTCACCATAAAGCACAGATTCCAGAAGGAAATTACTAAGAATTTCAAGATGGCAGCTGCACGGGTCCCACCGTGTGCCCGCGAAGCCAGCTCTGCCTGGGAAGTTCACAGGCTGAAGGTCACCACTTCCGCCTTGGTGCTCGGCGGCCAAGCTGTCCGGTGCCCTTGGAAGTTGAAATTCAACGAAGTTTCAGGTTCAGTATTCCTCTTCCCATCCTGCACCAGGCACCTGCAGAGGCGCCTTCTCAGTCCCTCCGTGACCAGCCACTCAAGGAACCAGGTGCAGAGAGAAGTCACGTGCCTGAGCTCACATAGTTGGGACCAGGGCCCAGGGCCGCCCGTCCACTTGCCAGTGTGTCCACCCTGCCCAGAGCCCCTTCCCACATGGCTCTGGGATAGGAGCTGGTCCTGTGTCTCAGCACCTGGTTCGATCTGGGATTGGCTGCACCCTGGAGGCCACTCCCGGGAGCTCCCCAGCCTGGCACACATCCCCGAATTGGGGCTTCACCCTGTGAGGAACCAGAGGCCTGGCCCCAGTCCAATGTCACTAGATTCACAAGCAGGGGTGTCCAGGTGCCACTCACTCACTCACTGAAATGTGCCTGCAGCCACCTGACCACGGCTGTGGCCTCGGCTCTTCCCCCAGGCCCCCTTT